GTAGTGACAGCCATAGCATAGGTCTAGGCTAGAGACCATAGTTGACAGGGTCCTTGTCGGGATTCTGTAAGTCTGAGATCGAGTCTATAGGTTTGTCAGTCAGGGGTCAGAGTCTACGTGGTGAGGTTTGGAACCACTAACCCGGTTGTACACTTATCACCATGGTTGAGACCCGTAGTGGGACGGAGACTAATCCCTACACCCTTGAGCAGCAAGCAAAGATGGCCGCCTTAGTGAAAGAGAACAAGGAGAGAAAAGAGCGCGAGAAGCAGGCGAAGCTAAAGGCTATCGCAAATGAGCAGGCGGCGAAGATGAAGAGATTGGAGGAGGAGATTAAGAGGGTACAACAGGAGGAGGAAGAAAGAAGGAAGGCTGCTGAAGCAGAAGCGACAGTAGAAGAAGAGAAAGAGAGAATGAGAATTGAGAGTGGGGAAGGGAGTAGTGGTGGCACGATGAAGTGGGAGACAGATACTGAGCTGGAGAAGAGGATCAGCTAGTGGGTCGCTAATTTATCGTTGGGGGAAGACGAGGAGGCGGAGTCATATGTGACTAAGGATGAGAAGGCTGCGCTGGCCGCTGAGCTAGCAGCCATGACAGACCCGATGGAATGAAGAGAGAGGGAAAACGATCAAAAGTTAGCATGGAAGCTGAGAATGAAGAGGGAGAAGAAGAGGAGGAGAGAGGAAGTGAATAAGATGACCGCAGCTGTGGCAAAGGTGCAGGAGTGTAGAGCGGAGGTGCTGGCCCAGCCAGATGATAAGGCCAAGTGGGACAAAGTACTGGGCTACCTAGAGGTGTTGAGCAAGGCCTGGATGGAGGAGCGCCAGGCCAGCTGGAGCCAAGACGTTGCGTTGAGTGCCATGCGGTCCGGTTTCAGGGATTTTGCGCGCGAAATCGTCACCCACATTGGGGGCGAAGTCAAATAGTTGAGGGACAACGTAGGGAAGTTTTGTGAGGGCGCCATTCAGGGTGCCAAAGTTGCAGCCACTATAGAAGGAGAGGGCAGACCCCGTAAGGACCCAGTGAAACTTAAGTTCCCAGACGTGTACGGGGGAAAGAAGGACGAGAACTTTGACAACTGGGAGGCCAGTGTCAATAGTTATATTTACTTACTGCACATCCTGACGGAGGAACAAGTCCTCGTGGCCTTCCAGGCCCTCAAAGATGAAGCGGCTAGTTTCGCCAGGTCTCTTGCGCGTACAGCCGGTTGTGGAAACAACCTGGTTGCATATTCTAAAGTCACTCCTCTTTCCCAATTCCTCAAGCTCCTCAAGGAGCGGTTTGCTGACCCAACGCGAGGCATTAGAGCCTCTGATAAGCTCCAAACGATCCACTCCCGACAGTGGAGGAGTGCCAAGGCACTCAAGGGTACCATGGACGACTTGGTAGTCGTCCCGGACCACGGGGTCACTGAGCCCCAGTTGGTCCAGTTGTTTTATCGTGCCATTCCAGAGGCCCTACGCGGGCATTTCTTTGACAAATCTCAGCAGGCCGGCATGACTTACGATGCATTGAGTAGAGAAGTCGTCCTGTATGAGTCGAAGTCTATGCCAGTTACCACTTTCTGGCACAAGGACCTGGAGAAGGGGAAGAAGTGGAAAGATCKTACCATCTCGGGCCAAGTCAAGGCCAAGGATCACTTGATCCTGACATTAGAGGAGGGTGGTACATAAGAGGTCCCATATGATCAGATTGAGTGGGGCCTAGGGGAGGAGTACAGTAGTGTAGGGTAGGGGAGGTCTTACGCTGCTGTCGCGGCCGGAGGGAGGCCGCAAGGTAGAGGAGGCCAGGGCTAAAGGGGCCAGGCCATGGGAGGCCGAGGACCAGGCGCACAGGGGGTTGGCGGACAGGAAAACCGCCAAGCGGGAGGTAGGGGTCAAGGTCCCCCATTAAATCGCCAGGGTAATCGGTCCCCGCAGCGAGGAGGTGGAAGGGCACCTCAAGGAGGGTGGCACCCAGGCTTGCCGCAGGGCAGGCCCTGGGAAGACTTGGGCTTGGACCAACGATTATGGCAGGAACGCGTGAACCTGGGTCAGTGCGTATTCTGTGGTGACCCGGCGCACGTAATTAAATTTTGTCCAAAGTATAGATAGGCCCGTTGGGCTGCCCAACAGTCAAAAGCCAGCCGCCAGTAGGGGTTGCAACTGCCCCTACTTCCGGGCCATGTGGAGATGTGAGCGCTTCCAGAGACTGCTTGTGTTAGCGTCTCTTTAGGCACGTCCCTCACAGGTGTGGCAGAAGAGTTAAAGGAGAGGATGCCAGCCTGGGCCAAAATGAAAAGGGAGAGTAAGGGACAACTGATTTTGGTAGATGTAGA